CACCGTTTAGCCATTTTCTCCTCTGAGATCTTTTTTCTTGCAACTTGGGTTCAGTACAGCTCCCCAACATCATTAACTAATGTGTGTATTGTAACTGTTGGTTGATATCTGCCTCTCTTGGTAGAATGTGTTCTTAGTGTCTTGAGCTCCCGATTCAGGGCTTCACGCATAATTTTGCTGAATGAATTATTGCGAGCTTGACAGATGGTCATGCCATGAAGTGTGGGTCTCAGCAGCCTTTTGCCTCATGAAATTAGCCCTTGCCTGGCAGTGGGATGCCATGCTGCTTGTCCATGAAGCCTGGCTTAAGTATATTCTCCTCTGAGCCCTGAAACACTGATGCCCTTGAGCAGAAGCACAGAGAGTTTGTTCTTGGAAGCAGCTACAGCCTGAAGTCCTAGGGACAGTCTAGTCAGCTCCTGGTCTTTTGTGGCTAACTTTGGACCATCAGCTCAAGGACAGAGAAGCATCTTCCCCTCTGCGGCAATGGGGACCAAGTAGGTCTCTGTTCTCTGGGTCATTAGGAAAGTGGGAGTATGCATTCTATTTTCAGCTAGCCAGCCCTGGAAATCAAAAGATATGTAGATGAAGAGTCAAACTCTGTAAAATATTTTAAGAGATTTATTCTGAGCCAAATACGAGCGACCGTGGACTGTGACACAACCCTCAGGAGGTCCTGAGAACATGCAACCAAGGTGGTTAGAGTACGGCTTGATTTTATAGGCTTTAGGGAGGCATGAGACATCAATCAAATACATTTAAGGAATATATTGGTTTGTTCCAGAAATGCAGGACAACTTGATGCAGTGGGGGCTTCCAGGCTACAAGTAAATTTAAACATTTTCCGTTTGACAATTGGTTGAGTTTGTCTAAAGACCTGGGATTGATAGAAAGGAAAGACCGTGGAGACCAAGCTTCCTTTGAAGTCTTATAGTGGCTGCCCTTAGAGATAATAGATGCCAAATGCTTCCTATCCAGATCTTTAAAAAGTGCTAGACTCTTAGGCCATCTCTTTAGGATTGGGAGGGCCTGGAAGAAGAATATCTAGCTAAGTTAAGAGAGATTCTTTACAGATGCAAATTTTCCCTGACAAAGGATGGCCTGCAGAGCCATTTCAAGATATGGCAAAGAAACATGTTTGGGGGAAAATATTTTGATTTTCTTCCTTGTCTTGGAATGTTATACCAGAGTCAGGTTGGAAAATAAGTCATGATATACAGGTTAAATAAAGCCCATCTGATGAGAATTTATGGTTTGTAGAGCAGGACTCCCCAGAGTCCTTAGATAGGAATTTGGGCAAGATAAAAAAAATCAGAGCTTAGTCCTCAGGTGGGAATATTTGTTTTACACTTGGTAATAAATTTCAGACTGGCTGTGGTGAGGCAATCTGACTAGCCCAGATTTTGTGCTCTGTGTCCTAACTCAGAGCCACAAAACTGTCCCGCTCACTAACAGACACTGTGTGGTTATAAACACAGACAGAAGCCTTTTTATGTAAGGAAATGGGAAGTACGGGGTTGTGTTACAAAGGTTTGGGTGTAGACAAAAACTTTTCTGATTCCCCGAACTGGAGGGCAGTTTGTCCTTTAAAGCAAGTAGATTCTCATTTCACCCTTTGTTCAGAGGGAAAGCTACTTCTTTGGGTATCAATTTAGGTCAATTTAATTTCTATTTGTTTGACCCACAGCTTAGATTTATTTTCCTTCTTTTGGGATTCCATCATTTATAACTGAAGAGATAAGCTTAATCTAAAGCCTTGCAAAGTGAGGTCAATGATACTAAGTCCCAAGATTCCTAGTGGGATTGTCTCAGAAACCAAGAAGGAAGGGGCTTCAAACTTTTCCCTTAGAAAGACATTTTCTTTTTTTTTTTTCTTTTCTATTTTATTTTATTTTATTTTTTTCAATTTATTTATTTTATTGCATTTTAGGTTTTGGTGTACATGTGAAGAACATGCAAGATTGTTGCATAGGTACACACGTGGCAGTGTGATTTGCTGCCTTCCTCCCCATCACCCATATCTGGCATCTCTCCCCTTGCTATCTCTCCCCAGCTCCCCACCCTCCACCGTCCCTCCCCTATTTCCCCCCAACTGACCCCAGTGTGTAGCGCTCCCCTCCCTGTGTCCATGTGTTCTCATTGTTCAATACCCGCCTATGAGTGAGAAGATGCGGTGTTTGATCTTCTGCTCTGCTGCCAGTTTGCTGAGAATGATGGTTTCCAGGTTCATCCATGTCCCTACAAAGGACACAAACTCATAGTTTTTGATGGCTGGATAATATTCCATGGTGTATATGTGCCACATTTTCAAACCCCTTATTTAATCTCTCTGTGGCCTCCACTTCTCCATTCATTTGTTTATGCTGTGCACTTATTTAGCTCAGCTGCCTATTCATTTATTCAACAGACATTTGCATAGCATACATCAATGTCATACCTAGAATTTAGCAGATTGAAAAACAAGACAAATCAGTGGTCTCAGAATTTAATAACAAATGTCAGTGCTTCCAGGAGAGAGCATCTAGCATATCCTGCCTTGGTTTTAGATCTCTGATATAAAGGCCAAGGTTAGAATTGACCACCCCCCCACCCCCACTTTGTCCTCTCAGTCCTTCCATAAGAATACTGCTTCTACTTTACATTTTCCATATTCATAATTCCTTTTCCAATTATGAAAGTAATCTGTTTATGATGTAAATTGAAAAATACAAAAAGGTTTAAAAAAGGGAGAAAAAAATTATTCTAAAAGAGTTGCTGTGAACATTTTTATGTAATTTCTCTCTTTTCTGTTGTTTAAAAATCTAGTCAAGAATATTTTACATAGACCACCTTATTTTCCAGTTTTCACTTAATGTTATAACATAACGATTTCCTTTTTTTACTCTAAACTATCTACATTATTTTAATGGAGATACATTCTTCATTCTTCATTCTACAGGTATAACCTTATTCACTTTGGTAATCTCCTTTTGTTTGAGAGTATCTTTTCCCTTGCTTTTGTAAGCTTTTCGCTTATAAGCAATGCTGCCATAGTGTTTTTGTGGATGGAAGCTTTATACAGTTCAGATTTTTTTTTTTTTAAGAAGAATTCCCCAGAGTGTAATTACTGGATAAAACATGAATGGATGTTCTCAAAGCTATTGACTTGGATTGTCAAATTACTTTCCAAAGGTTTTTTGCTATCTGCATTTCTTCTCATGTTTCAGGATGTCTAGTTTAGCTGTGTCCATCCTGAAGGAGGTAGGATGCATGGGTAATCACCCTGGTTCACAACTAGGTTGCTCAACTGAAGTGCTTGCTCTGCCATTTACTTCATTATCTCAGACACCTCACTTAATCTCTCTGTGTCTCTGTTCTCCCTTTGAAGAATGAAGATAAAAATAGTACCTCCTCACAGTGAGAATGAAATGAATTAATATATGTGAAGAGATTAGAATTTGCCTGACACATGGTAAGTACTGTTTTAATATTAGTTGTTATTACCCCATCTACTACTGTGGATAAGACTGAGGCGAAAGATGACCAATGAAAACAAAGTGTCCTACACCAGGGTATGGTGACTTGAATAGTGTCCCCCAAATTTCATGTCCACTGGGAATTTCAGAATGTGACTTTAGTGAAAACAGAGACTTTACACATGTCATCAAGTTAAGAGGTGGTCATACGGAGTCAGGGTGGACCCGATTCCAATGGCTTGTGTCCCCACAAGAAGAGGAGGGAATACACAGAGATAGAGGAGAAGGCCCTGTGAAGATTGTGAAGATAGAGGCAGAGACTGCAGTTATGCTTCCACAGTCCGAGGAATGCCTGCAGCTACCAGCAGCTGGAGAGGCAAGGAAGGATTCTCAGAACCACCAGCAGGAGTACGGCTCCACTGCACCTTGATTTCTGACCTCCAGCCTCCAGACCTGTAGGAGAACAGATTTCTGTTGTTTAAAGCCATCACATTTGTGTAATTTGTTATGGCAGTCCTAGGACAGGGATACACAGGGTAAATCCAAAGTTTCCATCATTAGGGAGTGTACACAGTTATTTACATGAAATTGGCATGTCATAGCTGTGAAAGGAAAATAATCAGAGCCCCCAAATCACTAAGCCAAAGGGAAAAGTCAAGCTGGGAACTGCCAAATGCCTCCCATTCTATGTAACATCGCTACAAAAATAAAAAATGCTACACACCTCCCTCACAATTTGCTCACAAGGAAATTCCTTGTGGATAAAGGACAGAACTCAAAGTCATTCACCTGCTCGCATGAGACAAATGAATATAATCAAAGCAATAATGCAACTGTTTGTCACTTATTTACCTGTGACCTGAAGCCCCTTCCTACTTTGAGTTGTCCTGACTTTCCAGATCAAATCAATGTACATCTTACATATGTTGATTAATGTCTCATGCCTCCCTAAAATGTATCAAATCAAGCTTTGCACTGACCACCTTGGGCACGCGTTGTCAGGACTTTCTGAGGCTGTGCCACAGGCGTGCCCTTAATCTTGTCAAAATAAACTTTCTAAGTTGACTGACACCTGTTTCAGTTATTTTGGTTTCACATGGCCAAGCAGAATTGACATCATTTCAGGTCACTAGGGATTCTAAACAGAGCTGTAGGCCGGCATGGCAGGGTGATCTTCCTGGGTGACATCAGCAAGCGGACAGACCCAGGGCACCTGTCATTCTTCACTCCTCCCGCACCCCTTCTGCTCCAACCAGGTTCCCAAGAGCTTCTGGATGGATCTTTGTTCTAACTGGCCATTGATAACCTGGGCTCATTTCCACGTCCCCTCTATGCTAGACTGTAATGATGATTGATGCAGGTAGCAAACGGTCTAGAGTCGCCTCGCAGCCTTATTATTGCAGATACAATTACCACCAGGCTGAGCTTGCTGCTATAGTATCTGATAATGGACTCTAATTTGCCAGTGGGGTTTGTGCTCCTTTGTTCCCAGACAGAGATCCATTTCTAAACTAGAGAGTAATTCATAAATATTTTTCTCTCCAGTCATGAGGCAAGGCCAGATTTAATTGCACAGTGAAAGGCAGTTCTACCCAGGAGCCACTGCAGGCGGCTGTGCTCTGCTAGGGCAGAGCCTACTCTACTGATCCAGTCTGTTCATTTTGCAGAAAAGCCCCCTGAGGCCCAGAGAGGTAACGTGACTTGTCCTAGGTCACACAGTGAGTTATCTAGGTCTTTACACTCTAACACTGCCTCCCTTGCTCCCTGAGCCGGAGAGTAAAGTAGCAAAGAACCGTGTGTTCTAAGCAGCCCTTTGGACTTGAGCCACATTGACCTCTGCTTATTTGTATTTTTTTCTTTAGGAATTATATATTTTTAAAGTAGCATATTTGTTGTTTCTATTTTGTAAAGAAGCTCATGGATGAGAATTTGGAAAATATAGAAAAATTTAAGAAAAAATAACCATAAAACAATAGCTTCAAGTTAGCATTTTTTATTCACTTACAATTATTTTATGTATATGTGCACATTGTTAATTTGTATTTTGGATAAAATTGAGGTTATATTATATGTGCAGTATTACATTCTGTTTTTCCATTTATTGCAATTTATTTTCTCACATCATTAAATGCCATGTTGTATCCTCAAAAACGTTTGTATAATATCATATTATACAGATTAAGTTATTTAAACATTTTTTCTATTGTCATTTAAGTGGTTTTGTAATTTTGCAATTATAAATAACATTGTTGTGTTATTTAGGCATACGTATTTATGATTGTCTCTGATTATTTCTTTATAATAAATACTTACCTGTAGAAGTTGATGTCAAAGAGTGTGAATTTTTAAAGAGTCTTAAATAATACATATTGCTAAGTTACATGGTTTCTTATCAGAGTAAAAATGGAATGTTGGAACTGAAGTCAGAAAAACTGGACTTGAATCTCAAGTTTATTCTTACTAGCTGTACGACCACAACCAAATTCTTTTTTTCCCTTCACCTGATGTGTAAACGAATAATAACTACCTGATCAGATTATTATGAAAATATTAGGTTGCTGCAAAAGTAATTGAGAAGTAATTGCAGTTACTGCCATTGAAACTAATGGCAAAAACCGCAATTACTTTTGCACCAACCTAATGAAAGGAAATAAGTATTAAAATGCTTACACAATGACTAACATGCAGCAGACACTCAGCAAATATTTATTGGTTTTGTTTTGAACTTTTGCCATCAGTGAGAAAGAAGCCAAACATTGGAATTATCTAGAAAAAGGCCAGGGACTTTTATTTTCCAAGCAGGCGATTATTGGTGTGGGGAAGATAGGTAAAAGCTGTTCGCAGTTACTAATATAATAATGAAAACAAAGGCCAGCTTATAATAGCCCAAAGGACAGTCTCTGATTTGGCATTTTGATGATACCAATCTCTTCCTATGGAGGGAAGTCAAACTGCCATCAGAAAGTTAGGATTTACCTAATGCAACAGCCAACTGCAGACAAGTTTGATATGGCTGTAAGCTCTCCTTGGAGGAGAAAGAGGAGAGGATGGTTGTGCATGAGACCAAGAAAATGAAGCTCTAACTCTGCATCTTTCCCTGCATCCTCAGGTTCCCAAAAGCAAACAGGAGGTTGGGAAGAGGAAACCTGGAGGAAGTAAGCTAAAACCAGTCAAACATGGGCCTTGAAGCAGCTGGACATGGGTGCAAATCCAAGCTCTGACCCTCGCGAGCTATGTGACCTTGGGCAAGCCACTAGATCTTGACCTGTCTTGGTTTTCTGCTCCATAAAAGGATGCTAATGTAGGCTACTCAGCAATGTTTTTTAATTAGGCTAAAAGGAAATGAATATGAAATAGAAAGTGGCCAATACATGGTAAGCAGTATTACTATTCTTTATGTAATATTGATTAATCTACTATTTTCATAATAAAATGGGAACCATAAAAATAACTTTTCCATGTCTTGATGTTATGGGGATTGTTGACAAAAGGATGTGAAAGTATCACGTCATCTGTGCAGTGCTGCAAACGAGTCGAGATTGGAAGGGAAGGGGCTCACCCCTGAGCGTGGGGAAACAAAGGGTAGCAGCTGCTAGAGGGTCTGGGACCTGGGCTTCCTCCTGTGACTCCCTCATTGCCTTAGGTCTGCAGTTTGCTCACCACTTCCTTCAGCATTGCCCTCTGGTCAGTGCTTCCTGAGTGCCAAGATTATTCAAATGTTTAGTGTGGCAAAATCATGCATGTCAGGATTTAAGCACCTCCTACAGAGACAGTTTGGGATCATCAACGCTTGTTTCCCAGCAAGGCCTGTGGCGTCTGTGGTCTCCTTCCAAGGCGAAGGCCTAATCATAGGAGTCAGAGAGCTTTGTGGAGAAGGGCGAGTGGGTGGTGCTTCCACCAACAGGCCCTGAACCTCCAACACCAGAATGGCCTCCTTCTGGCATCTTGCTGGTTACATATCCATCTGAGAGGATCTGAAATGTCAGGCCCACCCCCCGCCACCTGACACATGCATCCCTTCTCTCAAAAGTTCACCCTCTGCAGTCGTCATCAGGTGTGTATCAGATTGTGGCCAAGGCAGAAAATCTATGGAAAGCCCAATACCATCGGTGACATGATTTTGAGCCATTTAAGTTAAATGCAGTGAAAGATTTTCATGAACCTGTGGAGTTAGGCAGGATTCCCGACAGAAAGATCTGTAGTCTTAAAGCCATCTTCTGCATTTGACTTACATGTAAGTTCTATATAATACTCAAGCCAAACCCAAATGAACTCAACTCATTATTATTTGTAATAGAAATTAGGAATGCTGCATTTTAGACTTTTTATCCTGTGACCCACAGTTTCAAAAGATGCCAACAAAAGATGATTTCATCAAAGTTATTGTTGACTTGGGAGAACACATCTGTCCTGTCTCCTTTTGCCCTCCAAACGCTCGCATTGTTGGGACACATCAATTCAGTCAAAAAGACTCATTCGAAGCAGGGCAACATCTCAGTATTGTGGATCTGTGAACAAGTTTTGAGTCTTTCCGTGAGAGAGTTTGCGAGCATAGAATAAGAGGGTGATTGGCCATTGCAGCAGAGCCTGGAGGTTAAAGCCTCACCTCTATCCCTGTTCTGCCAGGAAGCCCACGTTTCCTATGTGGAGCCAATTGAAACATCATATGCTGTTTGGCATCTGCACACTGAATGGCTGAACGTGAATCGGCAATGTTGTGCAACTTTCAGAAAAACCAAAGCATGTCCATGGGAGAACTAACAGGAATGAAGAATTTACCAGCCCAAGAGAGGTTCTCATTATTTCCAAATTAGCCAAAACTCACCAGCATGTTCTGTTGTCCTCTGGATATCACATAGCAGTGTCGTAGGAATTATACGGGGCCCAGGAAATGAAGGTCAGATGAAGTCAGAGGAAAAAAGGGTCACGAGGAAAAAGCCAAGGCTTTGAACAACTAGACTGAAAAAAGAAAGCACTGAAGAGAGACGAACACGATTTTTGGTATAAAAAAGGCATTCATGGTGATAAAATGGGCCCCATCTCCATTGAGGAAAATAAGAGGTGAGGAAGATGGAGCCACAGCACAGAATACTAAGGTTAGATTTAAAGGAAGAACTGTCACTGTTCTTGAGTGTTACTGAATTAGCTCTTCAGGAGCAGGAAACAGGTTGAGTACTAGAATAAATGCAGCCTGTAGACACTGATGTTGCCGGGTAAGAAGGTTACCTGCAGAGCTACTGCATAAATCACTGTGAAACTTCCTTCATGGGGGTCTTTAAAATGAGATAACTGCTTTGAGGTGAGAGACTGAGGGTAGGCCTTACTACCTGCTTGCACTATTTTCAAGACCTTAAAATGGAATATCCACATGTGTTTGTGGGCCCCTGAGGTTTTTAAACTGTTGTGTTTCATGTCTTTGCTAATCATTTCTAGTTTCAATAGTAAGGGTTTCCTCTATTTTGAATGCCAGGAAACAAGTTATTTCCATCCTGGTAGTCACTGGAGCTTTGTAAGATGTTTATTCTTTTGTGGGGTTGGGGAGAGGATGGACACCTGAGCGTGAACCTGAGAAACCTGTACGTGGGTTTTTCTGGAGCTCCTCACTGTAACGTGACATTGTCCCTAAAGCCAGCTCCATGTGATTTTGCTACTCACATATGCAGCAATTACCATGTGGCCTTAGCTGACCGTGTCAGGTGCAGTGTTATTTGGGGCCGTTGACCAGAAGTAGGTCTGACCGAGATGCTTTGCGTTACAAGCAATGGAAGCAAAATCTGACATGAGCAGGAAAGATGGTTCCATTCTCACTTATAAAACAAGCAGGGGCCATGCTTGATAGAGAAAGGGGGAGAAACATGCAGGCCAGTGAGAAAACCGGGAAAGGGTGATGCTCCCACAGTGAACAATGAGCACATAGGTGTCAAGTGACTACAGCCAAGTGCAAGGCAGTGCGAGGCTAGGGACGAGTCAGCGCAATAGAGGCAATGGCAATCAAATGTCAACTACTACCCTCTAAGCCGTGTGGGCAAAGGAGTCCTAATATTAAGGAGATTCGGAGCAAGCTGTTTGGTGTTCTAAGGTGAGGCAGAGAAACCCAGGTGCCTGTAGACAGGGCCTAGATGACGATGTTGCTTGGGTGTCTGAAGTGAGTGATTCATCAGGGAGCTACAGCTGTTTACAGCTGACCCGTGTGTTAAATATTCATCACCCAGAAAAGGGAAATGTGTTCCAGTGCCCCCACGCAAAGCCAAGGCTTTTCTGTTTGATTAGAAGATAAGTTAAAAAAAAAATAAGGCGACACATTTTCTTTCTCTTAAGTTCCCTGGGAATCTTTCAGTAAGTTGAGGTTACTTGCAGGGTTTAAATAAGTAAAAAAAAATCCTGTTTATTTGACATCACCTTTGTCAAAGTGTGTGTGTAGGAGGAGGTGGAGGTGGGAGCAAGGCAGAAGTCAATTCTGATGCAACAGAACTGGGATAACTTTCCCAGGGCACTGCGGTTTCTCATGACTCTCTGGTACTTATGTAGAAACAGCTATGGAGGCAATTGAGCCATTTGCTGACTGGTCTATCTGGCAGGCCCACAGGGGATTTCATGTTTATTAGTAGATGACAGGTGGAATACCATTATAAGTGACCATAAAATATAGTCAAGACCAGATGGTTGCCTTTTTGGGTTGATCTGAGAAATACAGAGGAAAGTCTACATTCTGTACCTGAAATATTTCTCACTGATGAACTATTCCATTTAGGCTACTTCTTCAGTTCCTTTACAATAATTTTTCAGTGATAGACTGGGCATAGTGGCTCATGCCTATAATCCCAGCACTTTGGGGGACTGAGGCCAGAAGATTGTTTGAGCCTAGGAGTTCGAGATCAGTCTGGGCAACATGGTGAGACCCTGTCTCTACAAAAAATAAAAATAAATATACAGCCAGTCATGATGGTACATGCCTGTAGTCCCAGCTGCTCGGGAGGACTAAGTGGGGAGGATGGTTTGAGGCAGGGAGGTCGAGGCTGCAGTGAGCTGTGATTGCACCATTGTACTCCAGAGCCTGGGTGACAGAGTCGGACCCTGTCTCAAATAAATAATAATAATTAGTCAGTGATAATATAAAACATGTAT